AAACTAAAATAGCTTACTCAATCTCGACGATTGCTTATTCATAGGCTATTATGAGTTCAAGACAAGCCGCTATGGTGAAATTGGTAGACACGCTGCTCTTAGGAAGCAGTGCTAATGCATCTCGGTTCGAGTCCGAGTGGCGGCATAGCATCTTCTAAAAAGGATAAATAGATCTTATAATGAATTCAATTCCCGATTTCCATTTTAGAATTATGTAATTAAGGGACTCTTCTTTTTTAAGATTTTTTATGATATTTTCAACCTTAGAGCATATATTAACTCACATTTCCTTTTCGATCGTTTCAATTGTAATTACAATTCATTTGATAACCTTTTTAGTCGATGAAATTGTAAAACTATACGATTCGTCAGAAAAGGGCATAATAGTTACTTTTTTCTGTATAACAGGATTATTAGTTACTCGTTGGATTTCTTCAGGACATTTCCCACTAAGCGATTTATATGAATCATTAATTTTCCTTTCATGGAGTTTCTCCCTTATTCATATAATTCCATATTTCAAAAAAAATGTTTTAATTTTAAGTAAAATAACTGGACCAAGTGCTATTTTGACCCAAGGCTTTGCTACTTCAGGTATTTTAACTGAAATACACCAATCTGGAATATTAGTACCTGCTCTTCAATCTGAGTGGTTAATAATGCACGTAAGTATGATGATATTGGGCTATGCAGCCCTTTTATGTGGATCGTTATTATCAGTAGCACTTCTAGTGATTACATTTCGAAAAAACAGAAAGCTTTTTTATAAGAGCAATGGTTTTTTAAACGAGTCATTTTTCTTGGGTGAAAATGTTGTCGAAAATACTTCGTTTTTTTGTGCTCAAAATTATTACAGGTCCCAATTGATTCAACAATTGGATTATTGGAGTTATCGGGTTATTAGTTTAGGATTTACTTTTTTAACCATAGGAATCCTTTCGGGAGCGGTATGGGCTAATGAAGCGTGGGGGTCCTATTGGAATTGGGATCCAAAAGAAACTTGGGCATTTATTACTTGGATCGTATTTGCAATTTATTTACATACTCGAACAAATAGAAATTTGCGGGGTCCAAATTCTGCAATTGTAGCGTCTATAGGTTTTCTTATAATTTGGATATGCTATTTTGGGGTCAATCTATTAGGAATAGGGTTACATAGTTATGGTTCTTTTCCATCAACATTTAATTGAATTCAAGACAAGTTATTACAAATACAAGAGCGGGCGACGCATTGTATGAACCAGCATGCGGACCGTGTGAATCAAATATTGTATTGATGATTCACACGGTTTTCTACCATATGTAGTTCAATTTCATTGTTTTTACTTAATTCTTAAGTTAAGAGAAGAAAAAAAGTCTTCTTTTTTTCATTGTCCAAGAATGTTTTTAAAAACAAACATAGGTTTTTTTATTTCAGTCATCCAATTATCTATAAAAAAAATTAGATAGAATAACTTCGACCTTGTCAACTGCTAATGAAAGAACGAAATCGGGGTATATACCAATACCTATTACGGGTAAAAAGATGGAGATCGAAAGAAATAACTCTCGCGGTCCAGAATCAAAAAAAGAATCCTTCGGGGCGTTAAATAGCTTGTATCCATAGAACATCTGGCGTGGCATAGATAATGAATAAATAGGAGTTAATATAATTCCAATTGCCATTACAAAAGTAATTAGTAGTTTTGGAATTAAAAGATATTTTTGGCCGGTAATTATTCCAAAAAATACTATCAATTCGGCAACAAAACCACTCATACCTGGTAATGCAAGGGAAGCCATCGAAAAGCTACTGAACATCGTGAACATTTTTGGCATTGGAATAGCTATTCCGCCCATTTCGTCAAGATAAACAAGGCGGATTCTATCATAAGTCGTTCCCGCCAAGAAAAAAAGTGCAGCACCAATAAATCCATGAGAGATTATTTGTAAAAGGGCTCCATTAAGTCCCGTATCGGTTAGAGAACTAATTCCTATAATTATGAAACCCATATGGGAGACAGAGGAATAGGCTATTCTTTTTTTTAAATTCCGTTGGCCAAGAGATGTTGAAGCTGCATAGATTATTTGTATTGTACCTATTATCATCAACCAAGGAGAAAATATAGAATGGGCATGAGGTAATAATTCCATATTGATTCGAATTAATCCATACGCTCCCATTTTTAATAAGATTCCGGCTAGAAGCATACAAGTACTGTAATGTGCTTCTCCATGGGTATCTGGTAACCATGTGTGTAGGGGGATAATGGGCGATTTGACAGCAAAAGCAATAAAAAATCCAATATAGAAGATTATTTCTAAAACCACAGGATATGACTGATTAACTGATGTTTCAAAATTTAATGTTGGTTCATTAGAACCATATAAAGCAACACCCAAAACTCCCATTAAGAGAAAAACAGAACCCCCCGCCGTGTACAAAATAAATTTTGTAGCTGAGTACAGACGTTTCTTTCCTCCCCACATGGCTAGAAGTAGATAAACAGGAATTAATTCTAACTCCCACATGATGAAAAAAAGTAAAAGGTCCCGAGACGAAAATGATCCAATTTGACCACTGTACATTGCTAACATGAGAAAATGGAATAATCTAGAATCTCGAGTAACTGGCCAAGCCGCTAAAGTCGCTAAAGTAGTGATAAATCCTGTTAATAAAATGGGTCCTATAGAAAGTCCATCTATTCCTAATCTCCAATGGAAATCAAAAAAATCGATCCATTTATAATCCTCTACTAGTTGGATTAATGGATCATCCGATTGGAAATGATAACAAAATGCATAAGTTGTTAGAAGGAGTTCTAAAATACATATACATATCGTATACCACCTAATTACCCTATTTCCTTTATGGGGAAGAAAGAAAATTAAAGAACCCGCAAATATCGGAAAAACGACAATTATTGTTAACCAAGGAAAATAATTCGTAGTAAAGACAAGATACACTTGGACCAAAAAAACCCGTGCTCAAAATATTTTTATTTTCGAGCACAGGTTTGTCGGTAAAAAAATTAAATGGATTCAAGTAGAGTTTTCTCGAACGTATCAATAAGCTAGACCCATACTGCGAGTTGTTTCATGCCATAAATAAACTCGGACACTCAAGAAATCTGTTGGACAGGCGGATTCACATCTCTTACAACCAACACAGTCCTCTGTTCGTGGAGCAGAAGCAATTTGTTTAGCCTTACAACCGTCCCAAGGTATCATTTCTAATACATCAGTGGGGCAGGCTCGGACACATTGAGTACATCCTATACACGTATCATAAATCTTTACTGAATGTGACATTGGGTCTATACGTTTTTGAATGTTATAAATTTTCGATCTAGTAAACTTAGAAACGAATCATATATTTAGATACCAGATGAATCAATGAGTTATCATGATTTTCTAATCAACCCCTTTCTGGATTGGTTTATGAGATATGAGAGAGGCCAAAATACTTTGATTTCTTATGTTTTGCAAACAAGATCATACTTTACGTAGTAAACATGCTAATTAAAATTGATTTCTCAATATTAGAATCTAGATGATTAATATTAATTATTCAACAAATTTGATTGGTTGATACGAGTTGATTTTCTGTTACGGTAAATTGATGAAACAATAGCCAGGCCAATGGCTGCTTCAGCGGCTGCAATAGCTATAACAAAAATTGAGAAAATGTCTCCCTTTAATTGACGATTATCAAAAAAATCAGAAAATGTTACAAAATTTATATTAACCGCATTCAATATAAGTTCAAGACACATAAGGGCTCTAACCATATTTCGACTTGTGATCAATCCATAGATACCGATAGAAAATAAATAGGCACTCAAAACAAGTACATGTTCGAGAATCATTAAACAACTCCTTATCAATCTCGACTCCTTTCAATATGAACAACAATTCAACTAATTTCATTGACTAGTATATAACAAGTATGGAACAAAGAAATAGATTGGTACTAGATTGACCTAAAGTCTTTCTATTTATCCAGCTAGAATTCAAATAGAATTCAAGGAAAATTAATGTGATAAGACAGAACAAAATTTTATTTGAATTCCAAGTTTTAATAGAAATTTTTTATTGACGAGCTACAGCAATTGCACCTATTAAAGCAACTAAAAGGATTATGGAAATAAGTTCAAATGGGAGAAAAAAATCTGTTGATAAATGAATTCCAATTTGTTGACTATTACTTAGAAAATCTTGCTCTATAATCTGGTTTGATCTTGTAGTCCAAATAATCCCGTACCATGACGTATCTGAAATAGTAGTAATTAGTGAAATAAAAAGACTTATACAAACCATCGAAGTAATTCCATCTCCTACGGTCCAAAGATGAAAATCCTTGTAATATTCTGAGCCATTCATGAACATCACAGCAAAAATGATTAAAACATTTATAGCTCCTACGTAAATAAGTAGCTGCGCAGCAGCTACAAAATAGGAGTTAGATAGAATATAGAATAACGATGTACAAATAAGAACCAATCCCAAGGAAAAGGCCGAATAAATTGGATTGGGAAGTAATACCACTCCTAGACCCCCTAATATAAGACCCGATCCTAGAAAGACTAAAAGAAAATCATGTATTGGTTCAGATAAATCCATTTTTTATAAAAAATCAAAAACGAAGAATTTCATGACTTTATTGACCTGACCAGGAAAAAAGAAGTTTTTCTATTTTTTATGATACTTTGAAATTGTTAATTGAATGAAAGTCTAATGGGTATGAATTGACGTAGATGCTTTTATTTTATTGGACCACTATCCATTCTTTATTCGTCGAAAGAGTAGTTTAAACCTATCTATTTTTGATATCATTTATCTACTTTGAAACCATTACTATTATAATATATAATATTGAAATCGGTTTTGTTTTCAATCTAAATTAAGCTAGGAGTCTCATTAAGCAACCACTAGTTTGAATTGCCCAAGCAAAAATCTCATTGTTTTAGATCCGAACTAAGCCTTCGTAATTCGTAATTTTTTTGAATCGAATTAAGGGTTTATTCATTGTTTATTTGAGGTAAATTCGAAATTGTTCGAATTGTGTAATCATCAATTACTGACATTGGTAAGCGACCCAAAGCGATTTGATTATAATTCAATTCGTGACGATCATAAGTAGAAAGTTCATATTCTTCGGTCATTGATAAACAATTTGTTGGGCAATACTCAACGCAATTACCACAAAATATACAGATTCCAAAATCAATACTGTAATTAAGCAATCGTTTCTTTCGAATATCAGTTTCCAACTTCCAATCAACAACGGGTAAATCTATAGGACATACACGCACACATACTTCACAAGCAATGCATTTATCAAATTCAAAGTGTATTCGGCCTCGGAAACGTTCCGATGTGATCAATTTTTCGTAGGGGTATTGAATAGTTACAGGTAAACGATTTGCGTGGGACAGGGTAATCATGAAACCTTGGCCGATGTATCTGGCGGCTCGTATTGTTTGTTGACCATAATTTATGAATTCAGTTATCATAGGGAGCATATGTTGAATATCTATAAAAAAGATTTTATGCTTGTTTCTTTCTCTTGTTTGAGACAAGTCGTGAATCTAGGATATTGTGGTCTTTTACAGTGAAAGAAGTTGGGACGAGGTTGTCAATAATAGATTACCTAGAGAAATCGGTAAAAGAAATTTCCACCCAAGATTTAATAGTTGGTCCATTCTCAGCCTCGGTAAAGTCCATCTTGTTGCAATAGGAATGAACAAAAACAAATAAGTTTTGGCTAATGTGATAAAGATACCAATTAGTGTTCCAAAGACTTTACCCCCTTTATTTATGCCAAATAGCTCAGGAACAAATATGTACGGAATAGAAAGATTCCAACCTCCCAAGTAAAGAACTGTTACAAATAATGAAGAAACTAGTAGATTCAGATATGAAGCAATGTAAAATAAACCAAATTTGATACCTGAATATTCGGTTTGATACCCTGCTACTAATTCTTCTTCTGCTTCTGGTAAATCAAAAGGTAATCTTTCACACTCGGCGAGAGAAGAAATTAGAAAAACGATAAACCCGATGGGTTGACGCCACAAATTCCACCCCCAAAAACCATATTTTGACTGCGCTTCCACTATATCAACTGTACTTGAACTGTTAGATAATCATAGTCGATGATAACATCACTGTGCCCATCGCTATTCCAGAACCGTACGTGAGATTTTCACCTCATACGGCTCCTCAGAGGTCACAAATAAACCTAAGGGCCCTTTCCTATTCTTTATCTTGATATGTTTGTCAGATAGAGTCAAAATCTATCCTAAGGTCCCAAATTAGACCAATGGAATTCTGTCTGCTATATTTAAAACTAATAAATAAGTGCTTCTGAATTTATCTCATCTTTTAAGAATTTTAATTTTTCTTTGTTGATTAATAACCTTATCATTAAATAAAAAAATGTGCTTTATAGCAATATCACATATACATTTCAACCTCGAATTTTCAATTACGAAAAAAATTAGAGAGTACATTAGTTCATGAATCATGACAAAAATTTTATCTCTCTAAATAGAAATCAAAATTGAATTATAGGAAAGAAAGAATAAAAACAAAAAAAGAAAAAAGGAAGAAAAAAAAAAGACATCCCTCCTTTTTGCTTTTGCAATTAGATTCTTTTCTTTCTATTTCGATTTTTTTATTTCATTCCTATTCTCCTTTCTCAGAAAAAGGGCCTTTAACCAAAGTAAAAGATTACTTCGTTCTTGATAGTTAGTTACTTACTCAGTGGATAGGAACATACTCTGGATCAGAATCATGGGGAGTACTTCTTGATCATTTCTACGAATGTAAAGCCCCAATTTGAATTCCTTTTATGTACAGAAATATCCTCTTGGATAACTTACATAATCTCAATTACTAATCCTTTGTGTATCTTGGTCTTCCTAACCATCCACTCATTTTTTGTTTCAAAAACCTCCCGTTGTGGAAATCCATCTATGGTAATAGACAGTAAAAAATCCATAGAGTTGGTCTTTTGAACCCGCTTCAAGCTATCATGACAATTCATGAATCTTGGGGTAAACAATCTCTCTTGCTTATGTTTACTTTTTTCACCATTTGATTCTTGTACATAGGAAATGAGACTCAACTTTTTTACTGCAAATTTAGAAGCCGTTTTCTTTCACTCATATAACTATCTGGTTTAGTTTATCAACTCAAATGCTGAAGAAAAATAAAAATATATATAGTCAATCAAATCTTTTTATCCTTGTTTCTAGAAAGAAAAGAATTTTGATAAATTTTAGGTCTCACCGAATCACACGTAGAGATATTGATAACACACATAGAGCTAATGGTATTTCATAACTAATTGATTGAGCAGCTGCCCGTAGACCACCTAAAAAGGAATATTTATTATTTGATCCATACCCCGACATAAGAAGTCCAACGGGAGCAATACTTGAAATGGCAATCCAAAAAAAAACACCAATACTAAGATCGGCTAGAACAAGGTGATCACCAAAAGGAATTACTGAATAACTTAGAAAGATAGATATTACTGCTATGGATGGCCCAATACTGAATAAACGAGTATCTCCTGTAGATGGAATAAGGTTCTCTTTCAAAAGTAGTTTTGTCCCATCTGCTAGAGCTTGAAGAATTCCTAAAGGGCCGGCATATTCAGGCCCGATACGTTGTTGTATTCCTGCAGATATTTCTCTTTCTAACCAAACAATTACTAGTACACCTATTGTGATTCCTAATACAAGAGTCACAATAGGGACAAGCATCCATATGATCCCATAGACTTCTTTTAAGGATTCCAATTTGGAAAAAGAATTGATAGTCTCTATTTCTGTTGTATCAATTATCATTTCAACGATCAACTTCTCCCATAATGATATCTATGCTACCTAGTATTGTCATAATATCAGCCAATTTCATTCTTTTAACTAACTGAGGAAGAATTTGCAAATTGATAAAACCTGGTGGGCGAATTTTCCATCTCCAAGGAAAAACGCTCTGGTCTCCTATCAGAAAAATCCCCAATTCTCCTTTTGGGGCTTCAACTCTCACATAAAGTTCTTGTTTCGACAATTCAAAAGTTGGAGAAGGCTTTTTACTAATAAACCGATATTCAAAATCATTCCATTCAGGATCTTTTAATCTGTCAAAACGTCGCATTTCTAAATTTTCGTAAGGCCCTCCTGGAATTCCTTCTAGAGCCTGTTGAATAATCTTTATGGATTCTGTCATTTCACCGATTCGTACTAAATAACGAGCTAATGAATCCCCTTCTCGTTGCCATTGAACCTGCCAATCAAATTCGTCGTAAGACTCATAATGATCAACTTTACGAAGATCCCATTCTATTCCGGAAGCTCGTAGCATTGGTCCCGATAAACCCCAATTTACTGCCTCGTCTCTCCCAATAATGCCTACGCCTTCAACTCGTTCTAAAAAAATAGGATTCCGGGTAATAAGTTTTTGATACTCAGCAACCCCTGTTAAAAAATAATCGCAAAAATCCAAACATTTATCTATCCAGCCATAGGGTAGATCGGCAGCCACTCCTCCAATACGAAAATAATTATGCATCATTCGCATACCGGTGGCAGCTTCGAATAGGTCATATATCAATTCTCTTTCTCGAAAAATATAGAAGAAAGGGGTCTGTGCACCAATATCCGCCATAAAAGGACCGAGCCATAACAAATGAGAAGCTATCCGACTCAACTCCAACATAATGACTCTGATATAGCTAGCCCTTTTAGGTACTTGAATATTGCCTAATTGTTCGGGTCCATTTATGGTTATTGCTTCTGTGAACATAGTAGCTAAATAATCCCAACGTGTTACATAAGGCAAATATTGTATAATTGTTCGGTTTTCCGCAATTTTCTCCATCCCTCTATGTAAATAACCCAATATTGGTTCGCAGTCGACAACATCTTCACCATCTAGAGTAACGATGAGTCGAAGAACACCGTGCATTGATGGGTGCTGAGGCCCCATATTGACTATCATGAGGTCTTTTCTTGTAGTTGGTGCAGTCATAAGTTTTTTAACGATTCATTCTTCCATGAATTACTGAAAGTGAAAAGAAGTTCATCAAAATTTAATCGAAACATATAAGTGAAAATGAAATAACTCTTCAAATTAATCAAATTAACGAGTTTTTGTCTCTCGAATGTCCAACTGATTAATTAATTCTTTATAACGTACTCTATTTTTTTTTGCCAAATAAGCTAGCAGTCGTTGACGTTTTCCCAAAATTTTCTTCAAACCTCTCTGAGATAAATAGTCTTTTTTGTGCAATTCTAAATGTGAAGTAAGTCTCCGTATCTTATTGGTGAAATTGAATACTTGAAATTCAACAGATCCTTTCTTTTCTTTTTGAAAAATAACTGAAATGACAGAATTTTTTACCATAAATGAATTTCCCCTTTCTTTATTTTACAGATATGGATTTTTTAGAATTTTATTGATCAGTAATAATAATGCCAGTAATTTGAACGTGGTATATAGACTTAATTTCTTTATGAACCTCTAATTTTAGCAATTCCAATAAATTAATCAAATTTCAAATTTGATTCAGATAGGAATCCAAAAAGGTGGTAGGTACGTTTTTTTCAGTCACAAAAGCGAATAATTGAAACCTAAAATCCTAAAATGAAGAAGATTCTGTTGATTCATTTCTAGATCTAATCAATACCTTATTTTATTGATTTAGTATTGTCTACTCGAATTAGATTCGAATGAGATGTAAAACAAGGCATGTTTGCATTTGTTTGCTTTCAGATACTCTATACGAGACAGGGTATATAGTACTATCAATTAATTTTCAATCGTGGATACATATGTATCCTTAAGATACTGAAACGGCTACCATTATTGGTATCAAACCAATAACGATTCATACAAGCTAAATCTTCTAATCGATAATTAGGCCAAAGAAAGAACTTAAATTTAATTAATTTATTTTTATCTTTATAAAGGGGTTTCCGTTCACCCAAAAATTGACTCCAGTTTTTTACATTGGTTTCGTTGCAAAATACTGAATTTCTATCGACGACATTCCAATTCAAAGAATTAAAAAAACTTCGAATTCTCAATTCTCTACGACGTCTAGACCATAAAATATTTTCAGGAACAAGCAAATCAAAATGAGTTTTTTCTGTATTTATTCTTTGAGTTTGAGGTTGCAGAATGAATTCGTCAAAATTCTTTTTATCAACATATCTTTGTTCTCGGTATCTTTGATTAGTTTGGTGTTTACTTTTATGAACCAATGAAATACCTATGGTTTGATACATAATAAATTGTCCATTATGTTTTACAGACAACCGAATAGGTTCGATAATCAATACCCCCTTCTTCATCAAGTCTGTAAGAGGTAAATTTGCCTGAATCAGCATTATATCCAAACTCATTTCTCTCCTTTGAATTGACGATATAGTAATTTTGGTTGGATTTATCAGTCGAAGCAGGAGACAATATACCTTGATATTTTCGAGCATTCTTTTATTCAAAGCATCGTTCCATCTCAATTGAAAAAGCAAATAACGTTTCAAGAACAAATCTAGTTCTGCTTCCGTGTTGCTTTTGTATTGTTTTTTATTTTGACCCTTTTTTGTGTCTGATTCCACGTAATCTTTTTCAAGATCGGTTTGATGTTTTGAAAAAACAGGGCTCAGATTTCCTTTGTTTTCTATATCTGATCCACGCTCTCTTTGACTTGGGGGTTCTTTTGTTTCTTGACTTCGATTCTTTATTTTTTTATTTGATGGTAGAAAAAAGTTTTGTTTTTGGTTTTTATTTTGAATAACATTTTCATTTGTATTCAAATTAAAAAGAAGGAATTTGCTTGGTATAATCCACGGTTTTATTTTATAGACATTATAAAGTAGTACAAATTCTGGGAAGAACCAAAATTCCAGATTCAATATGGGACGATTAAATATTTTTTCATTCATTCCCATCCAATCAAAAAAGACTTTTTTCGAATTTTTTTGAGTTTTTTCTGGATTTTGATGAGTTGTAAGATAAAAAACCCCTTTTTTCTCAATTTTATCAATTATTTGATAATTATTAATACCAATTTTAGTATTTGGATTACTGTTGGTATCGATCTTAACCCAGGCTTCAATATCTCCTTTTTGTCTAAGAGAAAAATGGATAATTTTCCAATCAAAATATTTTCTATCGAGATTTCTTTCTATATCTAGAATATTGACCTTTCTTAGATAATTATTGATATGAAGATTGCCGGGCATATCAACAAAGTTGTGTTTGGACGTGTTGGAATTATACGAAATTTCTAAGTTCTTCTTTACTTGAAAGGGTAATCTAGAAAAAAATGAGTCACTTTTATTTTCATAATTAATTGATTTATATGCTAAAAGACCATATCTATAACATTTTTTAAAATTATCTTTTTGGTTTGATAATGAATAGAGTTCCGAATCATTTTCTTTTTTGTAATGAATTAATTGGTCTTTTTCATATGAATTCCATTTGTTTAAGTTTCTATTTTGATTTTGAGCCATACAACTTTGATTAACCTTAGTTCGCCATTTTTTTGGCATTAATCTAGACCATCTAATCTGAGATAAATCGTATTGATAATGCCATCTTAACCAGTTTTTCCATTGATTGATTCTATAACTCTGAAGTTTCTTATGTTTTAATTCCGAATGAAATATTCCTAGTGTTTTAAAATAGTTCTTTATTTTAGTCTTAAGGAAGCAAGACGTTGTGTTATATTGAAGAACAGATCTAAATTTAGACAAATTAATAACTTGGGTTTGTGATAATTTGTAAAATACATATGCTTGTGACAAGTAGGATAAATCACAAAAAATATGTGAATTTTTCTTACTAATATTATAAAGTGACTTTTTTATAGTCGAAATAAAGATAAAGTGAATTTTTTTTTTATTAGTAATTTTTTCTTGATTTATTTCATTATTGGAGATGAATTTCTCAATCAATTTGTTTGTTGATTCAAGAAAGAGTTGTGTAGTAATTCTAGGAATATTAATGATAGATAAAAATAGATCGATGTATAATCTTTGAATGAATAATTTGAGAAAATAATGGAATTTCCATATTACTCGAGTATTTCTTCTTTGTAATATTTGGAAAAATTTTTTTGGCGATTCGAGTTTTTTAATATTATTTGTTTTATTAGGATTAATGTCTATTTCTGGAGTTACTTTCTTTTTATCTTTTGTAATTCTTTCTATTTGATTTTTGATTGTACTTGTTCTATCAGTCAAATCCTTCATTTTTGTTTCTATCAGTGAAGAATTTGGCCAATTTCCAGATTCAATTTGACTAAATGATTCGTTAATTATTTGATTACTAATTAGATAATCTTTTTCTTTTTTTGTTTCATTGGATTCCGATATTTCTTTGAATCTAAATAATACAATTGGATTTACTTTTGAAAGTTCTTTTTTTATTTTTTTTAGAAATCCAATACTTTTGATAAACCATTTTTTGGTTTCTTTTGAAACTCTTCTAAATAATTT